GAATAGCTTGAGCCCAAGAGTTTGAGGTTGCTGTGAATTATGACGCCACAGCCCTCTACCTAGAGCGACAGAGTGAAACTCTGTCTCAAAAAAAAAAAAAAAAAAAAAAACTTTGCTTTTTAAATAGATAGATGCTCTGGCTGCTGTGCTGAATACAGACGGGAGGGGGAAGAGACTGGAGATGCTAAAATTGGCAGGAACGATGATCGCCTTAGCCAGGGGAGGTGGCAGAGGAGATGGTGAGAAGTGGATTCCAGAGATATGCAGGAGGTAAAATGAACCATTTATTGGGCCCTATACTATGTGTGTTACAGTTATTATCTTGTTTAATCAGTGAACAACCCTATAGGTACCATATTACATTTCCAGTGGGCTTTAAATGTAAGCAATTGGACTAAGTGCAGTGGCTCACACCTGTAATCTCAGCACTTTGGGAGGCTGAGTTGGGAAGATCACTCGAGACTAAGAGTTCAAGATCAGCCTGGGTAACATGGCAAGACCTCATCTCTACAAAAAAATTTTAAAAATTAGCTGGGTGTGGTGGCACACTCCTATAGTTTCAGCTACTCAGGAGGCTAAGGGAGATATAACACTTGAGCCCCGGAGTTGGAGGCTGCAGTGAGCTATGTTCACATCATTGCACTCCAGCCTGGGGGATGGGGCATGACCCTGTCTCAAAAAATAAAACAAAAATGATTTTAGGCCAGACATGAATCAGGAAGGAGGTAGCCTGATGACTACAGGCAGCTCTCTCTCAAGCAGTGGGGGAACCTGACAGCGTCAGGATCAAGCCCATACTGTGGACAGCAGAGTGGAGAGATGAAAGAAATCTGGTCCTCTTTGGTTTTGGCTCAAGTTAAAGTCTTTCCACTATTAAGGTTGATCATGTGAACTGTCCAGCTTAGGACAGTGAAATTAGGATTGAGGTCACAAACGGAGGCCAAATGAGCAATACTTCCTTCCAGATTAGCGTTTTAACAAACTGTATTCCCAAGTAAGGATTTTACATGCTACACAAGATACCAACTCCATGGAGGATACAATAGGAAGATCCTTGCTTCTATGGAACTCCCAATCTGGCTGGGTAGGGAAGTTTAAAACACACAAAACTCCAAACTTTTTTGTATATTTCTAGTAGTGAAGAACAAGTACTAAATTTTGCTGTGTATAATGGGCACATTTTTGCCCAAATTTCTGTGGGAAAAATAAGGATGCATCTTATACATGGGCAATACTAACTCTGTATCTATCTAAATGCTTAAATTATTTCATATATGCTTATGCATTAAAAGTGTAATTCCAGAAAGCAATAATAATATCCATATGCAAAATAATACCCTGGAATATGGTAATTGGTTTTGTTGAACTTATGACAAACTTGCAACAAAGCATTTTTGGCCAATGAGGAGCAACGTATGGCCCTAAGGAAAGAGTGGACATCATGGATAAAGTCAGCTGATGATAATTTAACACCTACAGGCAAAATCAAGAAAGCATCCATTGCCTAGGTTTGTAATTGAATCCTAAGACTGTGGAATGGTGTCAAGAAGGAAATGTTTGTGAAATCATTCTAACAATGTGACATCTCAGGCGAGGTGGCTCATACCCGTAATCCTAGCACTCTGGGAGGCCGAGGCGGGTGGATCGCTTGAGCTCATGAGTTCAAGACCACCCTGGGCAAGAGTGAGACCCTGGCTCTAAAAATAACCAGGCGCTGTGGTGGGTGCCTGTAGTCCCCACTACTTGGGAGGCTGAAGCAAGAGAATCACTTGAGCCTAAGAGTTTGAAGTTGCTGTGAACTGTGATGCCAGAGCATTCTACTGAGGGCAACAAAGTGAGACTCTGTCTCAAAAAAAAAAAAAAAGAAAGAAAGAAAGAAAGAAAAAAATTAGCTGGGCATGATGACAAGTGCCTGTAGTCCCAGCTACTGGGGATGTGGTGGGGGCTGAGGCAAGAGGATCACTTGTGCCCAGGAGTTTGAGGTTGCTCTGAGCTATGATGCCACAGCACTCTAGGCTGGACAAAGAAAGACTATCTCAAAAAAAAATATGTATACATCCAGCTAGTTCAAAACTCAAAAGGCACAAAGGGGTATAAAGCAAAAATTTCCCCTCCTCTCTGGTAGCAGCGTTATCAGGTATCTTTTATAGATGTATATGATAGTGTACTGAGAAGTTAGCACAGCAGCTAAGAGTAACAGGTGCTGGGGCCAGACTTCCTGGGTTCACATCCTGGTTCCACCAATCACCAGCAGAAAATTCCTGTCTGCACCTTAGTTTATTCAGCTATGAAATGAAGATAGTTGCTATGACAGTCTAAATGAGTAATATATGTGAAGTTCTGTGAAGACTTTGTGACAGAAAACAGCCACAATTTGAATGTTATTTTCTCTATGATTATAATCCTTCCACCCTCTTTGTACACAATTCCCACACACCTTGGCATTTTGCATTTCTTAAGTAAATATCTTGGCAATCTATAGCTCTATATTATAATGGTAGATACATGGTATCAGATTTTATTTAAATAGGCTACCAGTAATGAGCACTTAGGAATGTCCACTCTTTCCTATTATAAACAACCCTGTAGTGTACCATCTTGTACATGTATCTTTTAGCACACACGAGTCTATCTGTAAAATAAATTCCTACAAGTGTAAATGCTGAGCCAAAAAGTATATGAATTCGCTATTTTGCCAAATTTTCCCTAATTGCCCTCTATAGAGGTTATACCAATTAAACTTCCAGCAGCAATTTACAAGAATATTTGGCCAGCCTACCAATATTTAACATTATCAAATTTTCTGACATCACCCTTAAGGATGAAAACCAGCAATTTAGCAGTGTTTTTTTTTTTTTCCAGAGTCTTACTCTATTGCCCACGATAGAGGATCATGGCCATCAGCCTACCTTACATCAACCTCAAACTCCTGGGATCCTCAGCCTCCCAAGTAACTAGGATTATAGGCGTTCACCACAACACCTGGCTTATTTTTCTATTTTCTTTTTGAGACAGAGCCTCAAGCTGTCCCCCTGGGTAGAGTGCTATGGCATCACAGCTCACAGTAACCTCCAACTCCTGGGCTCAAGCGAGTCTCCTGCCTCAGCCTCCCAA